TTAATTGAGAAATATTTTACAGAAACAATAAGCCTTTTAAAGAATTCTGGGGTTGGAAAGGTGAGAAGGTGGCAAACTACTTAGGGAAAGAAAAGCAGGTTTGTAGGTAGTGCTGGTGCAACTGGTTATCCATATTTTAAAAACTAAACCTGGATCTTTCTTAACTCACACCATGTGCAATATTCAATCCCAGAAGGATTAAGGGTTTAAATGTGAAAAAGCACAACATAAAAGGTTTAAAAGAAAATAGAGCCAAGTATCTTTATGAGCTTGAGAGTAGAAGAGGATTGTTTAAACAAATACAAAATACACAAACCATAAAGGAAAAGACTGAAAATTCTCATATGAAATCTCAGATTTAAAACTTCACTCGTATAACTTAAAAAGGGAAAAATACAAGCTACAAACTGGGAGAAGTTGTTTGTAACACATATAACTGACAGAGGGTCAGGACACACAATATGAAGAACATTTATGAACCAGTAAGAAAAAGACAAACAATCCAATAAAAAATTGGGCAAAAGCCATGAACAAGTATTTTGCAGAAGAGAAAACAGGACTGTCAATAAATATATTTTTAAAATGCTCATTGTCATTACTAATCAGGGAAATAAAGTATACATTAAAAACACTGAGAGAGATTATTTAAACCCACCAGTCAGGAAAAACTTAAGTCATTTGGATACCAAGGGTTCATAGGACATGAAGAAAAACTGTTAAGGGCACAGATTCCTGGCTTCAAATTCTGGTTCTTCCATTTACTAGCAGGATGCCTTGGGCAAGCAATTTAGCCTCTGTAAGCCTCAGTTTCTCCAACTACAAAATGAGAAATAATACTAGCGCATATTTTATTGACTTGCTGTGAGGATTAAATAAATTAATGCAAAGAAGTGCTTAGAAGAGTCAGTGCCCGGCATAGCAAGAATACAATAAAGTCAGCTTGTTGTTCATACTGCTAATGTCACCATCTTCATAACTACTGGTAGCATGTAAACTGGTACAACCGCGTAGGGAAAACCATTCGGCAACACCGTGTAGGGTTAAGGGTGCATATTCCCTAAACCCAGCCATTCTACTGGCATATTCCTTGAAGAAACACTTATTTCAAGAGGAAACACGTAGTAGAAAAATGTTCACAGAACCATTGTTTGTGATGACAAAATAAATAATACAAATGTCTACCTAGGGGAAAAAGAATAAACAAATTGTGGTAATTAACATGATTTAATAACATATAGCATGGAAATAAACTAAACTACATTCATAAACATAGACCAAACTCACAAACATAACACTGGAGGAAAAAGCAACTTAGAGAAGCATAGAGAATATGGTCCCATTTATATCAAGTTCAAGAACACGAGTAACTAAATAATACATTGTTTACAGTTTTACTCTATATGTAAATATCCATAAGGAAAAGGAAGTGCTAAGTTTAAATATCGGGATGGTGGTTACCTCTAGGGGCGGGAGGAAGGAGGATTTACTCAGGGGATGCACAAAAGAAAGTCAATAGCATTGGTAAGGTTTCCTTATTTAATCTGGATGGTGGGTAAACAGCCTCATTAAGTTATTCTTTACCTCTTATAAGACTAATACATGTTACTTTGTGTATAAAAACTGTTTCAATAATAAAAAATTTAAATGTATATACAAAAATCCAAGGAAAAAAGAACAGCAGTTATTACTGTAAAATCGCTTTTGAAAAACACCTGTGGTAATATCCATCCCATAGTTCTTCTCTGAATTTACCATAAACAAGGGCAAGAGAAATACAAACCAACACATTTCATAGCTATTTGCTTGGAGGTAATGAGCTGAAACTCTTGGGCAATGCTGCCCAGGAAGTCAGCATAGACACAAAAGGAGTTAGGAGTAAACACTGACGATCTATCCATGCTTCAGGGCAGGTGCAAGAGAAATCAACAAAGATCACTGTGAGGTCACCAGTTCTTTCTGTCCTGTGGTTCTTTCAGACCCCTTCCTCATACAGTGCTCTTCATCCCGACTGTTGCTAATATTTTCCAGGAAGAATGATTTCCCATTTTTCTGATACCTCCTAATTCCTCTCTTTGCCTCCAATCTCACTCTTCTTCGATCCATTTTCCACAATGGAACCGAAAAAAACTTTCTAAACTCCAATTCTGTTCATACCATCACTTCCTTAGTTATAACTCTTCCATGGGTCCCGCTGGCCTAAGAATAAAGCAGAATCTGTACTATGTAACTGACAAGTCTTCAAACGACTTGGCTCCTACTTAAGTCACTTCGCTCATCACTTCCAGCTTATCTTCTGATTACAAAAGGTTAAAGCTGTGGTTCTCAAACTGTGGCCCCTACAGCATCAGCACTACCTAGGAACTTAGAAATGCATGCCTAGCCCAGACCTACTAAATCAGAGTAAACTTTGCAGGTGGGTCCAACAATCTGAGTTTTAACAATCTTCCACTTGATTCTGAAGCACACTAAATAAAGTCTGAGCAGCACTGGTTTACAGCACAAATGAGAGGTAAATTAGTACCCGAAGAACTCTGTGGGAAAATTGAAAAGTACTGTACAGCATAGTGGTTAGAAGCACACAGCCTGGGGTCACAGTGCCAGGGTTCAAATTTCTGCTCAGCTTCTCCCTGGTACTGTAATCACAGGGAAATTACTTAGCCTGCCGTAGCACAGTGCAGTGGCTGACAGATCCTACAGCAAGGCTGCTTGGATTTCAATCTTGGCTCTATCCCCCATTAGCTATGTGACCCTGAGCAAGTCACCTACTGTCTCTGAGCCTCAGCTACCGCATTACAGAAGTATAAATAATAGCACCTGCTCCATATAGTTGTTGTGAAGATGAAATGAGTTAATATACGTACTATGCTTAGAACTGTACCTGATACACATTAAGCACTGTTTATTATTATAATTATTATTAATTTCACAGGGACCACATTATATTTTGGAGATAGAGAGTCAACACTGAGTGCTAATGCCTACAGAGAGTAAGTAAAACTCACCTGTTCTGATGAGGAAAAATTTTCCTCATCTTCTATTACGGAAGTGACTTTTTCTTTTTTTTTTTTTCCCCAGGATACCATTCATCTCTCTGAGCTTACTTTTTTCCAGTGAAGGAGCACGTAACTGGAAGGAATGACCTCCTCCAAAGAGGCATGGGGTCTGCCTTGAGGGCCATTTGTTTCATAATAATACTTCTTTTTTAAGCAAAGCACTTATAAGAATGAAAAGGGATTTACTGAGCATTATCCCTATGCTAGTGAAAATACTTCTAGGGATAATTCCAAATACATACCCAGTGTTAATTTACCTAGAAACTCTACATGTAAAAGTGCTATTAAGACACCCATCTGCACAGTCATTAAGAACACTGAAAATAACATGATACAAAGATTTGGAAAGTAAAACTTTGTATCTCTCTCTCCTCACTACCAAGAGGTCCTACTATGTCCCCCAGACCAAAACACATGAATGTCAGCCACAGTACATCCAGTGCAGAGTATATTCTATTAACATAAACAAGTGTTAACAAAACCATGTTTTCTGAAGACATAATAACTGGATCTCAGTGATATGAAATTATGCAGTGAAATTTTTCCAAGGGTCTCCAAGTGTTTAACCTCATACTTAGAACATGAAAGAAAATATGAGAGAGAGAAAATATACTGGAGCAAGTCACAAAACCAAAGGCAAAATAAGGGCTCATTACTGAGAGTTCAATGCTTCTTGTGACCATAAAGGTAATATACCAATTGAACCCTGAAAATCAGTTTTGTCATTAATATGTATTGAGATTCTGGAATCCTCTGTCCCACGGTTTCTAACAGAAGTATATATGAACCTGGTGTACAGTAATCTTTAAATGTGATTTTCTTGATTTCTCTAGGCTTAAAAAATCAGTTTCCTGTGTACAATCAACTTAAGGGAATGTGAAAAGATTTTCATAGAAAAGAAAAAAGAATGAGCATTTAATGCTATGGAGAGTTTAGGATTTTTATCCGCATGTGATAGCCACATGTTCTGTGCTGTTTTGTTTTGCTTTTCCTGGACCTCAACTATGTGGTGAGGTAAAGGAATTTTGGCAGAACCTCTTTTCGTGATTTTCTACTTTCAAATGAAGGACACTGCTTACAAAGAACATTCAATCAACTCTGGATTTCAAGGCACCTCCTCAATACAACAGATTTTATACTGGGGGGAAAAGAAAGGTTAACAAATTAAGATTACTTAATTTTTAAAAGGCATTGAGGGACTTCCCTGGTGGCGCAATGGTTAAGAATCCGCCTGCCAATGCAGGGGACACGGGTTTGAGCCCCGGTCCAGGAAGATCCCACATGCCGCGGAGCAAGGAAGCCCGTGCGCCACAACTACTGAGCCTGTGCTCTAGAGCCCACGAGCCACAACTGCTGAGCCCGTGTGCCACAACTACTGCAGCCTGCATGCCTAGAGCCTGTGCTCCAGAACAAGAGAAGCCACCACAATGAGAAGCCCACGCGCCACAACTAGAGAAAGCCCGCGCGCAGCAACGAAGATCCAACACAGCCCAAAACTAAATTAATTAATTAATTAATTTAAAAAGGCATCGATGTGCTATGGCAAGTCAACCTGAACAGCTCTGCTTCTGCTGATTTAATACCACACAATTCCGATTACAGGGGAAAGAAAGGTAACAAAGTCAGTCATATTTTACAACTAAAAACCCACAACGGCAAAGAAAACTGCTAATCTTCCGATATTTTTAGAAAAGCATGCAGGATGCTTTATAACAAAGTATAATATATAACCTTCCCAGACTGCCTGAAAAAGGAACACATTGATTCCTCAGAATAGGACTTAACTCAAGATCCTCTAAAATAAGAAAAAATGTTTTCAACTATAAAATGTATGAGGTGGATAAAATGTAGGTTTTCCATACTCTATCTGTAAGTATTAACCACACAGGTATTGGTAAGGATTCTGGACTTGATGGAGCCCTCTAAGTACCTCACCAGAACATTTACCTGTATCATCCTCTGCGTGCCATCAACGTTGACAGACAATAAGGGTGAAGCCAGGTTCCACGCGCCGGTCACATTTAGTTTCGACTCATCAACTTCCACCTGTTGTGACACCAAATAAGACTGTTACCATGAAGAAAGACAGAAAACTGATCTCAAGTTCACTGCTGCATACAAAGCAGCAGCCATTTTAAACAGATGGCTCCCCAAACAACCTGTCATGTTTACTGCTCTCACCATGAAAGACAGGGTCCAATGAGAGTCTTCTCAGCCATCTCTGGGGAGAGGTGAGGACCTGGGCACAGCTGCCTCTGGGTACTGAGGTTTCAAGTGATTTCCAGTAAGTAACAAGCAGCCTTCTAAGTCTAACCCTATCCGGCGTGCTACATTTACTGCAATTAGACGAGTAATGCATATAAATGCCAGTGACATTTTGCGACCCACACAACAGGGCTTGCACATAATATCCTCTCCAAGGACCGACAAAGAACTTTTTCTGTGTTAATTTTAATGAAGGACTATGCATTGTTATCTTAATTAAACAGAAGCTTTAATTAGGCAAAAGTTTTTGGCGTTGAATATCAAAAGTCTATTTGAACTTTGCAAACTTCTGTCCTATTTCTGTCCATCATAAATGATTTCATCCAGTCGTCATTCAAAAAGTTACCTCCAAAAGCCCATTATCTTTTAAAACAGATATTCTTAATAGAAAAATTTTATTATTCAAATAAATAAAAGTAATTGAAAGAAAAAAACCCTCAAAGCTAACTTAAAAGTACCATTCCTTACTTCTTCCTTTTCATTCACTCATTTGCTAACTCTTCAGTGTGAGAAGTAAGCGAAAATAACACTACTTTAAGTCTACAGTAAACAACCTAACAAAGAGAGATTTAAGTTTGCTGAAGTTTCAAAATAAACCTGTGGCACAGCCAAGATACATGATCCCTAACAATTCTTTCACTATCAATTCTCTTAAAAGATACTCACTCACTATAATCAAAGGCACACAGACTTAACACTGTTTAGAAGAATACGTGTGTACCTATATATTTAGATGTATATGTTTGAATAGGTATTTATGTATATATATTTCCGCAAAGATATGTTATTGGCTATGGACTGAAGTATCAGTAGGACATGTATCACACACTGGCTTGCGTTTCTGGGTTTAGTGGCCTCTCTGTACCCACAGTACAATCCAGCTACATGGAAGAAAAAACAATGGCTTTGGAATCACACTGACTTGGGTCTCACTTGACACTGCTGCTCTATCAAGTGCAAGCTGTTTACTAAGTTGGAGTATTTAACCTCTCTGAGCTTCAGTTCCCAAACCATAACACAGTAAAAATAGCTATCTGAGAGGGGGGTGCTCTAAAGATTAAATAAGTTAACATATGAAAGTCTCTACCAATATGCCTGTCATGGTAGGTCCTAAATATTTTCTCTCTTCCCCTGTCTCTAGTAATTTTACTGTCTTACCTTTAAACTAGTTTTAAAAATAAGGCCAGATAACCATACTATCTCATAGATTACTTACTACTAAAATACTACATGATAAAGGTCTGAGAAGCAGAAAAGGCTATAGTTTTGATTAAAACAGCACTGATACATTTTAAATGATCCTATTTAGCCCTTGCCCCCCAAATTAAGTATCTCCTTATGCAATGAAAGATTTCCAAAAGAAGCTCTTAGCAGGTAGAGTTTTACAAATATTAAATGCTAAAAAGATCTTCTAAAACTGAAATATTGCTTTAAAATGTTTCTAAATTTAAAAGTTTAAAAAAGCTCGATAATCAATTATAAAAGTTTTATTTGTTAAAAAAAAGTTAGAGGTTGTAAAGAAAGGTTTTGAATGATAATCATTTAAAATTTGTTATCTGATATTAATTTCCAATCAACAGGGCTGACAATGAAACCGTAATTGCTATCTTTGGGGCACATGAAGGGGAACTGAGGAAAGAATCTAATCTACTCAAATCATGTTAGAGGAAGAGCCAAGTTGTTACACCCTGAAATAAACCATTTTTATGAATGTCAAAACAAACTGTGATATATCCATATGGTGGAATATTATTTGGCAATTTGAAAAGGATGAAATACTAGCGCATGCTACAACATAGATGAACCTTGAAAACATGGTAACTGCAAGAAGACAGTCACAGAGGACCACAAATTATATAGTTCCACTTATAGGAAATCCAGAATAGAAAAATCTGGAAGAGACAGGAAGCAAACTAGCAGCTGTGTTAAGCAGGAGTCGGGAGGGGAATGGACTGGGGCGGGGAGGTTGAGGGGTGATGGCTATGGGTAATAGGCTTTCTTGTTGGACATGATGAAACTGTTCTAAAATTGACTGTGGTGATGGTGGCACAACTCTGTGAATATACTACACTCTACTGAATTATACTCAAACAGGTAAATTACACGGTATGTGAATTATATCTCAATAAAGCTGTTAAAAAATAAGTAACAAATGAAAACATGGAGGGTGGACTTTATTTTTTCAAAAACCAGAAGCATTACTTTATGAGAAATTAGAGAAGACCTAAAAAACGGAGACATAGGGCTTCCCTGGTGGCACAGTGGTTGAGAGTCCGCGTGCCGCTGCAGGGGACACAGGTTCATGCCCCGGTCCGGAAAGATCCCACATGCTGCAGAGCGGCTGGGCCCGTGAGCCATGGCCACAGAGCCTGCGCATCCGGAGCCTGTGCGCCGCAACAGGAGAGAGGCCACAACAGTGAGAGACCCGCGTACCGCACAAAAAAAAAAAAAAAAAAGAGACATATATCATGTTCATGAATTAGAAGAGTTTTAGTGCTATTAAGATATAATTTCTCTCCCGAATTGATCCATATATTCAATGTAATTCCAATCGAAATCACAGTAGGCTTTTTTTTTGCGTAGAATTGATAAGCTGATTCTAAAATATATACAGAAAAGCAAAGGATATAGGATAGTGAAGACAATTTTGAAAAATAAGCAAATGTGGAGAACTCATGCCACTTGATTTTAAGACTTCCCATAAAGCCACAGTAATCAAGACACTGGTGTAAGAACAGACATATTGATTAATAGAACAAAATTGAGAGTTCAGAGACCCACATATAAATGCCGAGTTGACTTTCAAAAAAGGTGCCAAGATATTAAATAAAGTATAGTTTATCAACAACAATTGAACATTCATATTTAAAAAAATAAACCCTGGTCCTTACCCCATACCATTAAAAAGACAAATCAATTCAAAACAATTAAAACTAAATGCAGGCCTTCCCTGGTGGCGCAGTGGTTGAGAGTCCGCCTGCCGATGCAGGGGACACGGGTTCATGCCCCGGTCCGGGAGGATCCCCACATGCCGCGGAGCGGCTAGGCCCGCAACAGGAGAGGCCACAACAGTGAGAGGCCCGCGTACCGCAAAAAAAAAAAAACTAACTAAATGCAAAGCCTAAAACTATAAAACTTTTGGAAAACATGAGAGAAAATCTTTATGACTTAGGGCCAGGCAAAGATTTCTTAGGATACAAAAAATGCAAATCTTATGAGAAAAAACAGATGAATTTAACTTCATCAAAATTTAAAACTTCTGTTTGAAAGACACTTTTAAGAAAAGGAAAGTCAAGCCACAGGTTGTGAAAAAATATATGCAAAATAATGGACTTGTACCCAAAATATATAAAGAACTTATAACGCAAAAACAAAACGAACTCATTTTCTTTTTAATGGACGAAAGATTTGAACAGACACTGCATCAAAGGAGACAGATGACAAGCACACGAAAAGATGCTCAAAATAATGAAATGGTCATTAAGGAAAGGCAAATTAAAGTTATAATGAAACAGTGTTCCACATCCACTAGAGTGGCTAAAATTAAACAGAGTGATAATACTAGGAGCTGGTAAACAGTGGAGCAACTGAAACTTTCATAGATTGCTGGCAGGAATGCAAAATAGTAGACCCACTTTAGAAAACCCCAGAGAATTGAAAGGCCATGTACACACAAAGACCTATACATGAAAGCTCTGAGAAGCTTGCTTATGATAGCAGAATATATATAGCAGAATGTTTACATCAGCCTCAAACTGGAAAAACCCCAAAAGTCCAAATGAACTGAATAATGGATAAACAAATACGGTATATCCACACAATGATCTAACTAGCAATAAGCATTTCAAAAACATTATGCTAAGTGAAAGAAGGCTGAAACAAAAGAATACACACTGTGTGATCCCATGTATTTGACATTATATGGCAGAAGTCAGACCAGCGGTTGGTAGGAGGCAAGGGTAGGAGGGTGGCTGACTAGGAAGGGGCCTGAGGGAAATTTTGGGGGTGATGGAAATGTCCTAAGTCTTGATATTGGTGCTGATTACACAACTATATATTTTGTCAAAACTCAACCAAACCACACAATTAAAAAGAGTAAATTTTATACAGATTGTACCTCAATAAATCTGACTCTTAAAAAATGAAAACATAAGGAAAAAACATACCTCTTCAAAAACTGAAAACAATATTTTTGAACTACCTTTGATTTATCTTCCCTTCCTGATAAATCAATTTCTCTCCCTTTATCCTCTGCTACTGGATGAGTGGATGTGAATGTTACCTTGGCAAGAAGGACAGAACGCAAGTTCCTTCCAGACAGAAACATGAAAATTAAATTATATGAAGGAAAGACAGAAGGTGGAGAGATCACAGTAGCCCCATTTCCTCTCTTTCATGGATCCTTAGGAACAGGTATGGGGTGGCAGTAGAGAGAGATGGTATTCTGACTGGTATCAAGTACCCTAAAAATATCTGGGCTAGAGGTCTACTTCTGGAACATAGCGGGAATAACAATATAGCACTGATGGAGAAACAGGCTGGAAAGATGATCCCAGTACATCATAGTAGTAGGAATCTAAAAGTTTCTACCTGTCCTACTGAGATGACTAGAGAGAGTCTGGGTCAGGATAAAGACCACATAGAACTGGGGACTCCATGACTGAAGGCAAATAGTAACCAGGACCACGGGTAGCAGAAGCCTCTTTTTTTTTAACATCTTTATTGGAGTATAATTGCTTTACAATGGTGTGTTAGTTTCTGCTTTACAACAAAATGAATCA